TATAGATAATTGTAGTTTTCTGTTACAATTTGTAGTCAATTTAGAAAGAAAAAAATTTAATTTAGATATATTTAGTATTTTCTTTATTCTGGTTACAAGATCAGTCAAATCCACTGAGTTCATATAGAGTTGGGCTAGAAAAATAAAAAAATAAGATATAAAGTTTCACTGAAAAAAAAGTTTGATATCAAGACACATGGGAATGCGTCGTGCATCCAAAACAACCTGCAGGACACACTGTGTGTTATTAACAGGAGTGATAGTGTAGCAATTTTTCACTTTCTGTAGCTTGGAGTGTAGTAATCCACCTATCACATATTTTCAGTGGATGTGCTCTACTGAACCCTTACTTCACATACCAAATTTCAAGGCAATCCACTAAGAAATACATGTGATATAAAAATCTCCCATTTTGATTGAAGTTCTTACTTTTTTTGTCTTTGCAACAAAAGTATGGAAACTTTATGTGATAGAAAAACATACTTTATGTTTATGAATTTTTTCAAGTTTGGTATACTGATAGATCTTTACAACCCATGATTAGGTGTCAAATTTGGTCTAAGTATAAGCCACATGTACAGAGTTATTCAATAAAAACCACTTTGACCAAAAGTTTTGTGTATGCCTACACAAAAACTTGCATTAGCTATCAGTCTGAAATTTTTACTACATCTTTACCTAAGAGTAACGGTAGACTGTTTTTAGTTTTTTGTCATTTGGATTAAAGATGGCTGATTTAGAGCAGAAAAACTATAGGGTGAAAGCACATTCAGATACATAAGTATTGATTATGCCAAGCAAGCTAGATTAGCAATTTTTAGCCCAAGTTTTCAAAAGAATCATATGGGTGGGTGGTTATTATTCATTGGCAATGTTTAAGCATAAATTTGCTAAATTTTATGAAATTCTCCTAATTAAAGTGCATTTAGCATCACATGATATTAGCTTAAGCAATTAGCGTAAATAATGATGCTTGATACAGCTGTACTGAGTACATGCGGGTGATGACAAGAAACTGTTGATCACAATTCCATGGCATTACTATAAAGGAGATTATTAACATTATATTTTAAAGAATATGATTGGTTCTGTAAAGTATAGGTTTGTTCTGAATAATAGGGTTGCAATCCTAAAGCTAATGTTGGTTACTATCAAGTGTCACCTTCTTACTTGCTGTGGTTTGTTTGTGTGTATTGACAAAAAGTCATGATATCTAATCAAAAACATCTTAGGTGTGAAAAAAGGTGTGGGCAAAAAAGGATTCAATGTGCAACTTAAAAGAATGAAATCAAAATTTGTGGCTAAACTAGTTGCTACAGTTATAGTATTGATAAGAATTTTACAGCAAACATTCATTTATTAGGTACCTAGGCCGCATATTTTGTTTTACCCACTATCATGCCCCAAGTTGAACAAAAAATGTGGCCTGGCTAACTAATGAATGAATGAATATATATATATATATATATATATTATTACTATTTACAGATAAGTTCTTAAACTTCAGTTATTTGTCTTAACACAAAACAGTAAATAAAGAAACATAGAAAACAATGATCTCTACTACAAACTGGCCTTTATAAAGTGACCTGTTTTGACTTTCTTCTAGTCGATCAATATTTTGTAAAATACAGTCACATTTAGGTTATAATACATTATATATATATGTATATACAGTACTGTGCAAAAGTGTTAGGATAAAGGGAATATTTTGTCATTCTTTCCATTTTGTGGGGCTAATTCTTCCATGCCATTACAGAATGTAAATTTCAACACTATGGTAATGCTTCACTGATCCCTGAGCCAGGGTGAGAATATTTATCATTCTTTAGAATTCCCATATACTTGTACCAAGAGCATGTCATAAGGGTTCTACTTGAATGAACATACTGATCAAATTTAGAGTCTAAAATAATTGTCATGGTACCCCATGTACTATCGTAACTATATAGAAAGAAGCTAGCAAGGAACAAGCATATGGTACTGGTATATGCTAGACGAAATCAATTTAATAGCGCTCCACAAATAAACCTTGATAAAAACAGTGTTTAATGCTATATATATATTAAGTTTTGTTGTCATGCCATAGCCCAATAAGTGTACAGAATTGTCAGTAGAGCAGAGAATTCACATAAAAGCTTTACATGATGCTGGTTGGACTTTCCGAGAAATTTCTGCAGACTTGAAATGCTCCCCAAACAATGTCAAGTAAACCCTAGATTGTAAGACCGAGACAGGTAAATTTAAAAATAGGAAAGGAAGGGGCAGATCACTTAAACTCAATGATACTGATGTTAAGTATCTTCGTTTATGCAGCCTTCAGGACAGAAGAAAGACTGCCACTGATCTCAAGCACGAGATAAACAACCATGTACCAAATGACAAAAAAAGTGTCTAGATTTACAGTATCAAGAAGACTCAATGAGAATGGAATATTTGGTCATTTGATCTCCAAATTTGCTCAAAAAGTACAAAAACTGGACTGTTGGTGATTGGAAAAAGAGTGTTATGGATGGATGAGTCCAAGTTTGAAATATTTAGTCCAAAGAATAGGTTGCACATCCAGCGGAAAAAAGGTGAAAACACTTTCTTCAATGCATAGCACCTACTATGAAGCATGAGAGAAGCAATGTGATGGTTTGGGGGGTCTTTTTTCTGCTTAGGCGAAGGGAGATATTTGCAAAACAGATGGAATAATGGACAAGCACAAATACCATCAGATACATATCCATCATGGTATACCCAGTGGTTTGCGTATTATTGGTAATGGATTCTACTACCAAGAAGATAATGACCTCAAACATTCATCCAACCTATGTAGAAATTACTTAGTTAAGAAAGAAGCTGCTGGAGTCATTCAAGTGATGCAATGGCCCCAACAGAGCCCCGATCTCAATCCAAATGAGCAAATCTGGTACTTGACTGATCAAAAACTTGACAAATCAAAAGTTACTTCCAAAGAAACTTTATGGGAGTCTATTAGACATTTGGAGTAAAATACCAAATGATACTTTGATTGAACATGTTGAAACAATGTCTGAAAGACTGTCTGCAGTTATTAAAGCAAAAGGGACACACACACAAAATATTAACTGTTTACTGAACTCAAGCTCTTCCACAGTTTCTGTTGTACTAAATATGAAGATTAATAAAGTTTTGATGTTTCACCTGTAATTTACCTTCCATTGTTCTTCAAAAGTAGCCTGAAATCTAATTTTTAACTTTGTCCTAACACTTTTGCACAGTACTGTATATATATTTATCTTATTACCATTTACAAATAAGTTCTTAAATTTCAGTTATTTTTCTTAAACATAGAGCAGTAAATCAGAAAATATAGAAAACAATAATCTCTATTATTTATGACTATAAAGAAATTTGTACTCGCTTGCCATACCTGGCATACCATACCTTCCATGCCAAATTTCACACATGGAGGATGTGAAACAAAATAATTTTTTTGATGTTATATATGCATTTTGAAATAACAAAAAATTATAAATTACTCTTACCAATATTGCATAATTCCACTGTAATTTATCAGGCTTACTAACTAAACTGTATTTGGGTCTAAAAAATAGTTTTTCACTTACCCCTCCCTTCCAAGATTGAAAACAAAAGATATAATCATGGAAAATTCTAAACTTCGAGAGATTGAGAAAACCACAAGGGAAATTCTGAGCTTTTGATTGGTTATAAACATGGTAGAGCAAAGCAAGTGTATGTAAACAAGTATTTCCAAAAATGGAAAAGGTGAGTGGGGCCACTGTGTTTGATTTACTAAATATAGTGATATCTCAGCAAATAGAAAAGATGGGAGATATTATTTTATATTTTAGCTTTTTAATATTGGTAATTTGAGTTTTTAATTTGTAAGTAACTATAGACTTTGTATTTGGACATCATAAACATCTAATCTGCACAAAAATCAATATTTAGGAACTTTTTTTTAAATATTTACTTTTAAATTAAGAAACTAACTGATGTATAATACTAAAATTTGAATTATACTCTACAATTTGGTACCAAACTTATTGACAATCATTCACAAAATAGTAGTTCAATAAACTTTTGAACGTAACTCTACAAACATGATGACATACTCTTTGACTCCTGACCATAAGAAAACCTGTAGCAAAAAGGTGAATAAACAAAACCTAAATATACTTACAGTGTTTTTGTATTTGCAGTAGAGCACACACCCATCAATAAAAATTGAACAGAAATAGATGAAAAAAAGGCAAAAAATTATAAACTAAAGAAACCTACCCACTTATATTTGGAATTACATCACTATTATATTTTCTGGACACATTTTTTTCTTTTTGCAATATGGCTTAATGCAAGTAACATTGTTTGTGTTAAAACAAAAAGTGGGACAATACTTCACACAATACTCAAGTAGTATCCATGGTTTTAAGTATACAAAAAATTATTGCAATGGCCATAACAATGACACTGAATACATTAGTAACAATCAATGTTCAATCGATTCTTTAAGATTATATGTGAATGCATGAATATAAACAAAATTGAATATAAATGTTATTTATCACAAATGCCCGCTATAACTAAAACAATGTAACTATGAATAACTTTAAAAAACAGGCTAGTCCACTTAAGATGATGTATTCAAGCAAAATATAAATAAACTTTAGTTTGTTTGTTTTATTTATTTAGAAAGAAAAGAAAATACAAACACAGTCAAATGCTGAACTGATTACCATTAGTAATAAAATATTTGCCCCTTATCAATTCAGATCATACTTTACCATAAACTTTCCAAGATAGTTTTCCTTTTAGTATATTGTACTATGCTACACCTAATAATATCCTTAATAATATATCAAGACAAAGATAATGTGCATATAGCTCTTCAAGCAAAGACAGTTTATAACTCTCTTGCATCCCAGCCTTTTAGTTTTGTTCTAAGCAGGTAACTTGCTCTGATTGTAAGTTAATATTAATAGCTATAAAAGAATACCTAAAAGTATACTGACCAAGGGGATCTGGTTCTATAATACCACTGAATGTAGCAATTTTTAAGCAGAAAGATCTCAGAGCTAACTCCACATCAAGAAAACAGTTATTTTCACTGAAAAAATATAAAAGCAACATTAAATGTTTTACTGTTAAAACATGGATTAAAAAACATTTTGAGAAGTAACATATATACTCTTTAAATTAATGATCAAACTAATGAATTATAAAACATCATTTTGACACTTTTATTATTAATAAAAGAAATCTCTGGAGGTAAAACAAATACCTCAGCAACTGCAACACCCAAAAATGTCAAGAATAACATTTCACTGATGCATTTTTATGCTCTGAATCTGAAAACCTAAGGGTGTTTTCATGTAGAAATAAGGTCTTAAAGTCAGCTACTTTCACCATTAAGCAAATATATGGAAATCTATATATTTTTTGCAAGTAAGCCAGCATGGCCTAGCTATAAAAGTTAAGTTGTTTTGTTGTGCAAGTCTAAGGGTCAAATCTAACCTCCATCAAATTATAATAAATTTTTATGAAAATGTATACAAATCCTACTAGATCAAATCAAATACTTTATGAATAATTATAGTTTTTTTTTTATCACACTGTTAAAAATTATAACTATCTCTTAACTGGAAACCAGCATTTTTTATATGAAGAGTGGCCTAGCATGATTTTTCAACATTACTGTTATGAGTTGGATAAAAACATCAAACTTTGTATGGGTTCATTTGGGCCCTAATTATCAGTTTGTAACTAGGAGCTCTCCTGAATTTTGCTTGGTACCATGTAGGCCATCAAAATTCAAGATGGCTCACACCCATGTGCAAAAGTCAGTATCTCAGGTTCTAGAAATCACAGGAAGACCCAATTAGTATCAAAATAGAGGTTTTATTGGTCAAGGATTTCTATTATGGACATAACAATATTATTCAATTACTTACAATGTCACGTGATAAGCCAAATTAATGATAGCAGCTACATTTTTGTAATGTTATTGCTTTTGTATGGTTTATTAGAAGTTCCCTTTAGGGTAAGCCTCTATTTAGTTTTTCATGTTGGATAAAATGCTTTTATGATGTTCTTTGTATGAAACTCATAACATATTAATGAAGAAAAATTTATTATATGGATATTGTATTTGTTATACATAAAAGATTGACTTCTTATGAATTCTTGGACTTTCAAATATGTTGTGTATGACAAAATCAGTCTTCTGCAGTCTGTTAACAAGGCAAGAATGCATGTTTTCTACAAAAAGATTCAAATCATGGAAAAACTTACACACACACACTGAAAAAAGACAGCCATTTTAATTTTATTCATGTTATAACCAAGAACATAATCATGTTGTGTTTTATTATGCCAGATGGTAAACAATGCACGATATTATATTTTAGGATGCCCTACTTCAATCTGTCCAATGGGCAATGTTCTATGCTGGAATTTGCACAACTAGCAACCAAACACATAAGGTGGTACGTTCTCTACAAGAAATTGCCTGGACCAAGATAAAAAAAAAAATAATAATTCCTGAAGTCCCTAGAACTCATAGAGAGCTAATTAAATGCTTCTACAAGAAAGAATGTTCCAACTATAAGTGTGGCAAAACCAATGTGGACAGTACACCCCTTTGAAATATCACAATACAAGAATCTCAGAAACATTCTGAGAACACTGCAGATGCTAATGTAGCAAATAACATAATATCACAGAGACAACAACAACAATGGTTTCAGCATTGTGAATGTTTGATGTGACAAACTCCTAAGAATTAAACTTTATTAACAACTTTTTCACTAAATGAAAGTGTGCTAAAAACATTATAATGTCTAAAATCAGATTCATTGACCTCAAAACCCCATATTCTGATACCAATAGGGCCTTCTTGTGACTTCTAGAACCTGAGATAGTGATTTTCAACCATGACAGTTGGCCATCTTAGATTTTGGTGTTCTACATGGATAGCAATTTTTAGGACCATTAAGAATTTTTAACAAATTTTGATGCTTTTGTCCAACCAGTAACAGTAATGTAGCTAAGTCATCTAGAATTTCAAAGTAATTCCTCTTTACTGAAGTATTTACACACTATTTCTCAGCATTAAAAATACATAATTTAGTCATGATATTACAGCTAAACTTTTTTATGTATCATCCAGTAAATACAATATAATTACTTCCACTTATTACAAGAACTTCATTGACAAGCATATTAATAAAACCCGTAAGTTAAAAGGAAAAATTACACTGCAGTATTTTTGCATATAAGTGCAAATAACAAAACGTTTTTATGCTAAAAACTGTTCAACACAATTAAAATTCTTAGAAGGAGCAATATGTATCCATTGCAATGTAAATTTGTTTAAACTTGATCATTTAATATATATATATATATATATAGATAACAATACTCTCTTCATTTAAAGTTTCATACACAAAAGTTTTATTATACTCACTCAAGAGTGTGGATGGTTGGGATTTTTATGTCAAAGATAAACTGTTCAATGGGTTTCAATGTTCTATCAAAGATGCAAATGACAACCTGTTCCACTTCATTGTTTTCAATCAACTTGTGAATTATTTTGATGCAATTTTCAATGTAACTCTGAACCTCAGGGTGAACAGCTATCTGAGGATGAAGAAATATTAACAGCCTTTACTTTGTATTTCTTTATAAAAGCCATTAAGATATATACAGTTTATTCTGCAGAAAACGCAAATTTTAAAAATAAAATTATACACAATAAAGAACCACTTAGTCTGAAGTTTCTGCAAGGCTGTCTCTGTATGCTTACCCTTGAAAAAATTTTAAATTCTAATACACGCTTTTCTTTTCAGGAAATCATATATTCCCCTCTTAAACTAGTGTAAAGTGTCAACCTGCACTAATTTGAATAGAAACTCATTCCATAAGCCAATCATCTTGTTAGAAAAAGAAAATGATCTTAACTCAAGAACAGTCTGTCTTTTCCAAATCTTAAACTTGTAATCTCCAATCCTATTGTCTTCAGAATATTTAAAGCACAAAGAAATCGGATATTTATATCTTAATAATCCAATAGATAATCTTGCAAACTTTAATAAGATTTCCTCTTATCTTAACCTATTTTCATAAAATAACCCTTCCATCCCAGGAATCATACATTAATAATTACTAACTTACAACTGAATTCCTTTATATACTTACATGCACAGGAATATTATAGATTTTTCCTTTTTCAAAAGCACCAGCTGGGTATACATTTCGCCAGTACAAAATTATGTTGATGGCTACTTCCATAAATTCTGAATAAATATCTGCAGCAACTGAAACCAACAGTAATAACTTATTTGTAATTACTGAAGATAATAAAATTAATATTTTTCCTAATATTATATTTCTCAAAAGTACTTAATCTAGTAAGCAAACAAATAATTATATTTGAAAATATCAGACGGATAATTCTTGTATTCAAAACAGCTTACAAAATTAGTACTGTTATAAAAAGTATATTTCTGTAAGAAAAGAAAGTTTGTATAATATCATAATACCATGCACAGTTTCAGTAATTTCCAGGAACTATGCATTACCACTTCAAGCCACTTACTCTAAAAAGTATTGGTTGTTATGGTATCTCTTAGGCTTTCTGAATGAAACTTCCTGTAGTTTTATCATTTAATATAATATATGAACAACATAGTACCATTTAGTCCTTCATGGCAATCCTTGCATATTCACCCTTCAGAAAATAAAAATTTAAAGCCATCCTTTATTTTTCAGGAAATCATCAACTGCATTCTCAAGTTCCTGTAAAGTTCTGACCTCCATCACTATATGAACAAAAAGTTAACATTAGCCTAAAGTGAAAATATATTTCCAACAGATACTTACCTCTTTTCACAAAAACGTTTTCTCAACTAGTACTGCCCTCTATCAGCACAAATGTTTTGCTTGCCAATAACCTTCTAACCCCCCACTTGTTTCTGCATATCAACATGTAAATGATTGTGTAGCAACCTTCCACCAATAGGGGTGTGACACTACCCCTACTGTAACTGGCACCCTCTCTAACCACTTCAAGATTGGTCATAACTAGTTGAACCAACTCCCACTAGAAGTGGGGAGGATGGGTGGGAAATGTGAGAGGAGGTAAGTATTTTCAGTTTCGAAAATGTTAACTTCTGACAAAATATTTTACCCCTGCTCACAAAAAGCTAGCGCAGATAGCCCTCGTGTAGCTTTGCGCGAAATTCCAAAACAAACAAACAAACACAAAAAGCTAGAATCCCACATTGAATTGGTGGAGGACCTGTGAGAATATGATCTTCCTTGAGAAAGTCCCTAAAGAAAGACCATGAGGTGTGCTAAAGAATGAAAAACATCATACCAGTGGGAGATCATGCCACTTCTAAGCCAGATATACTCTTCACCCTTCAGGAATGTGTTGCCAAAAACTTAAAGGTATGGCCCCAAAAAGTTTTAGCAGGAAAGGAACCCCAGGTGTCAAGTGGCTAGCGCACAACAGATCATAAATGGGAGTTCGACCTCAATCAACACCTGGAAAAAGCAGGATTCACTGAATAAACAAACCGACCTGGGAACCACAGTAAGACAGAGTATGTGTCATATACCATCTATGGGTTCTGTTTGGGCAAAAGAGCTGGTCAAGATCATAACAGTCCTAAAGGTGGGAGATTGAGGGAAGCGAATGAGGAGTGAAATCAGGATTACTCTCCTGAGCAAGCAAAGTCTCTGGCATAAAGGGACAGTCAGGAACTATGTAAAAAAACATAGGAAATCCCAATCACAAACACTTGGGAAAGACAGCAACCACATGCCAATATGAGGAACAGGGATGGTAAAGTAAAGTAATATAATGAACATGATGACAAAGGTTCAAACAGATGTCGAGTAAGAGCATGAAGGACAACATTGAGGTTCCACAATCCTGATGAGAAGCAGGGGGGGGGGGGGGGAGGATGAGCAAAATACAATTGATAGTAAACCAAAAAGTGGAAGACAAAACTGTCCTATAACCTACAAAAAAGGAAACTGACAGGTCCCAGTCTTAAGGCCAAGTGAAAAAGGACAGCAATGGAGGAATGGTAGGAAGGAAAATATGACAACCTAGGCATATAGATCAACAGCATTAAGTATACCACCTATGCTGGTAAACTGTCAAATAGGAAGGATGACCTGGATAGGAAACAAGGAAGCTAAATGCCTGCTGGAAAGTCCTGACCTTCAGGTGAGGGACCAGACAAAAGCCACACTTGAAGATGGAGTGCATGTATGGATGGATGATGCACACTGGAGTGTGGCTGATGGAGGAGCGATAATCATATTAGAGCTGGTCAATAGGATGCCACCAGAAAAACTCAACAAAGTGTGGTCTGAACTATTGATAGAACACGAGGAAAAAGACTAATTGGAGGATATGCACTGAGGTAACGACCTGTCCAATCCTGACTGAGAGGATCCACTGCTCCTACCAATGGATGAGGAACAGGAAAGGTGTGTAATGAGATGAGAGGCACAAAATTCCAAATCGGAGACACCCCAAACAAAACTCCCAAAAAAACAGGAGGATGCAAAGATAACCCCACTGGTAGAATCCCATCAAGATGGAATAACTGATCCATGACCAGGTTCAGGGAACCCATAATAAAGCATGCCAACAAAGTGATATGATGGCAGTGGGCCCAATATAGAAGATCCAAAATTTGAAAATAAAGGTCTCTCGACCGAGTGCCCATGGTGATGTAGGACAGTGCCATAGAGCTGTCACCACCTGGTCCCGAAGAGCCAGTAGGAAAGTAATTACTGCCCGACAAACAGTTAGAAGTTCATAGAGATTGATATAAAGAATGGAGTCAAAAAGAATTTCCCACCCCAAAACCTTTATCCATCAAAATGTAAAAACACCATATTAAATAAAGAATCAAACATCAAAAACCTTTATTAAACCTTAAGCAATTTTCAGTCATGTGACTTTGCTTCATACTGCTGTGTGTGTGTAAATATATATATATATATTCTTGCGTATGGGTAAGCTACTTAAACCTAATGATAACAAAATCTTCTCCAAACATTGTACCTTTGTCACAGTGTTATACTTTTAATAAATTTTTTGTTACCCATTCAGCCCATCTCTAAGCTGTTTAAGCTCACCTACCATATCTCAAGTTATCTAATTCTTCTCAATGAAAATGATTTCTGTGATTTTCAAACATATAATTTAACACACAAATATTTTCATAGTTTACAAATGAAGGGAACATTTACAGAAGCTATAAAAACAATATTAAGCCTATATATTTACTCTATTAATATGTAATGGACTAATTCTTGTTCTGTTTGATCATATTTAAACTTCTTTATGGCTGTTTTCAAAGCTGTGTTTTATTAGTAAGTGACAACTTGATATGGCACCATATCTAAGGTTCAACCAAGGCCCATATAAAAACTAAAGGAAACATCTGGAAATCAAGAAATGGATAATATATTCTCAGGAGGTAAGTGATAGGTTCTTGGTAATAATAAAGTTATAATTTGGGATGGGCAGAAAAATTCTACATAAACATCAACAAACATGTTCTTTTGTTTACAAGCACAACTCCTTACAGCTGTGCAGAAGTGAAAATATTAACCTTTTTCTTCACAAATCACACTAGTGTCAGAATATGATAAAATATCAATTTAAAACATTTTTGAGTGAAAATTGTCTAAATACTTATTTAATTATAAATTAATATATAAAGTAGTCTTAAAATTGGCAAAAATATACGAAAGGCTAAAGAAAGTCCTGTCTTCAGGTACAATAATTTAGGAATATGTTATTTTGATCCTCCTAAACTGTTCTACATGAAAGTGTATCTACATGAAAGTAGTGAAAAATCTGTAACAACAGAGAAATAATAAAAATTAATAATGTTCGTAGGTCTCTCCCTATAAATTTGGACATGACTGTTGTACTAAAACTACTTAATTTTTGTTAATGAAAATAAACAATTGCAGCTTTTTGACACTTTAAAACAACAGATTTATATATAAAGTCAGTAAAGTTTACCACACTAAAAAAAATCAACAATAAAATATTTAAAAAAAAAGACTCGTTTTGGCAATAGGCCTACATCACGTGTAGGTTAGTTGAACACTTCTTTCACTGTTGGAAATAAAATTATTTTTCAAAACACCTGCAAAATTAATCACTACTTGATATTTGATGAACAGTACACGTTCATGAAAAAACAAGAGGGAATCTCAATCGCCGTGGCACATGAAATTCTTTTAAGCAGGATTAGAGTATATTAATCTACAAGACATTTTTTCCATTTTATTGGCTATATGTTTGTGCACCAGCAATACCAAGCATGGGGTGCATGTATACCCGATTCAATTTAATTACTCATTAGGATCTCTACCAGCCTACCCTCAAACTGAAATTCTTTTAGGATGTCTAATAATAAAGATGAAGATGGTTGATAAAACACAAAACATTTTATTTACAAGGTTCAAACATTTTGGACTACACTCATTCAATCTTCAGCAAAATCTGAAAATCGTGTTATGAAGGTGATTATTAACTAAAAATATAATATCACAAACACTGGTTAAGGATAAAACAAAAAACAAAGGATTATAGATATATTGCACAAGAGTTGAGCTTAAGTGTGAAAATTTAGAACAATTTTAGATTTAAAAAGCTTTGTGAGTCGTCGAAAGTCGGATGGTCTTTAGCTATAAGTAAGCTTTCTTTAATGTAGAGTTCAAGGTCTAAAGATCCTGTGGTAATTACTGTTAAATAAAACAATGTGACCTGTGGTTTCAGAATGTAAACAAATGGATGAGTGACTGGGTTTAAGTAGTGCACATTCAGTTCTGTTAGATACTCGTAACTGTTCACAGACTAGTTTTTAAGTGGCATTTTGTGTTATCTAGCGAAACCACAGCCAAGGGAACAGGTTTTGAGAAAGTCACTACACATATATTTATACATGAGCCATGAATGTAGAAGTTTAGGTAGTTGATCTTTGTATTGAAGCAAGTCTTTAATGCAAAGACTAGGTCTGTATGTTAGTCTGAGCTGAATTTGAGGGTAGAAGTTTTTTTTATTAGAGAGGAGAGTTGTTTTTTAATTTGTATGGATCTTTTAGATAGGATTAGAGTAAGTTAACCTGCAAGACCTTATGCAAATACATTAATCAAAAGGGTTTGGACTCCTGAGTACGAAACTGTAATTAAATCTCAAATCAGTAAAGAGATGATGGAGCTATGAGCTACAACTTTGTACTTGAAAAAAACAACAAAAAACTTAGTTAAAATA